GCCCAGATACTTCAGAGCATGTACATATTTTATTCTTGTAATATTTTTCTATTTATGTATTTGCTTTTTGGTAACAAACATACTTGGAATGTTTTTAAAAAATTGCAGTATGCAGATTTCAACACTATTTTTATGTTTATGTTTATCTGTGTTCTAATGTGCTTAAGTTATATGGATTATTGTATATTCAAGTATTCTTTATTTGAATTTTACATTTTACCTTGTTCTTTTCTAGTCTGTTACCAGAAAGCTGAGGGTAATGTGGGTTGCACACTTTTTTTTAAATTTATTTGCTTATATTATATAGGCTTTTATTGCACAGCTTAAGGATGTAATGCTAAATGTCAAAGATTTGCTGACATGTTGTAAAAAGACAGTGCAGAGCAAATCTTTATTTGCAGTTATTTCTCTCTAAATAGAGCTGTATCATAGACAACTGCACTTAGGGAATGGAAGCATATAATGATGTTAGGTCTATCCGGACTATTGTCAAATTGTCATGAACTTCCTTTGCTAAGTGCAGGTTAATTGTGAATTATTTCAGCCATGGTATTGTCTTTCCTTCTTTAAAGCCATAGTGTATCAGTTCATCGATAAAGCCCTAATTAAAGAAAAAGTGTGTTTGGGGTGGGGGCTGGAAGGTTTGCTGTGCATATATTGTCTTTTAACCCCACTAACAGGGTTGTGCTTCTTGATTATTTTATGTTACTAGCTGATTTGTCAGCTAGGGTTAATGTGTTTTTTATTTATGGCAGTGTTGAAGACAGATTGCATAATCAATTTTACTTTGTTTTTGTTCACTGTTTTAAGTTTTGTAAAATAGATTTTTGTTCTATATTTTCTTTTTCTTTACCCTTCTCACTTTAGCTTGTATGTAATGGAGAAGTTTGTCTTTAGAAATTTTTTAAGAAAATACATATATTAAATGCCTTGGCCCTCCCTTCTTAACTGCAGAATCTGTTTAATGCTCAGTACATTAGACTGAGATTTTATAAAGTGATTTATCACTTAGTCTACACTTTCCCTATTACTATGTAGTTACCATGAGCTGTATTAGCAGGGGCTATCCATACTAGTGGAGCTGCATTTGCAGTGATTATGGTAATTAAGAGTTGTGCATAGCAACTGTTCAAGATGTGGTTGTGTTGAGCCCCTAAATCAGTGTGCTGGTCTCTGTGTATTGATTAGCATCACAGGCTGAGAATTGTGCTGAGAGGACTTGCATTAATTGACTGTCTTACCTATCAGACAATGCAAAGACTATAATAATAATAATATCTTTATTTACTACCAGTACATGTACATGGTATACAGACCTAGCTGACAACAATGACATACTACTACATAGAAAGCCCCTTGTTATGCTCCGCATGTCGGGCAAATTAGGTCAGTGTCCCAGGATGCGACCCACACCAGTCGACTGACACCCAGGTACCCATTTTACTGATGGGGAACATAGACAACAGGTGGAAAGAAACACGCCCAATGTTTCTACTCTGGCTGGGAAATGAACCCAGGCCCTCGCCGTGTGAAATGAGAACGTTAGACACCAGAGCCCATATATATCTTACCACCCTTATGCACTCTTAACTACATACACGTCTGAAAGTTGCATATTCAATGCAGAATTCTCTGACTTTTTAAATAAAACTAATCTGTGCTTTCATTTCACACTTACACTAACTCTTCACTCTTCAAACCCCTAAAGAATACACTCCACAACCAACACAACACTATGATTCATGCTGGGTACTACAATATATTATTATTGCTTGCATCTTTCCATTACCCTGTTGGTATCTGATAACAAGGGAAGAGGCATTGAAATTTAACATTTGAATCCACCTTTTTTATGTTTTTTCTTTTGGTGTGTGTGTGTGTATGTGTGTGCACACACCTTTTCAAAGAACCCCTCTTCCCTTTTCTTACGACATGAAAAAATACTGATTAAAATTCATATTTGGAAAACTGGGGTGGAGTGCTTACTCCAAGGCTTGCCCAGTACCCAGTAGTTACAGATGAAAACATTCTTGCCAATTACCTAGATGATGCTCATCTTTGACCATGGTCCCATCATTACACAATTCAACAGTAGTTTACTAAATATCAGTGACATGCCAACTATTAGCATGTCTACCCAGACTACCCTTTGCAACATTGACTTTTCTCGCACACCCCATAAATTTTCATGCTAGGTCCTTGATTCATTGGCATAGCGTATATTGACCCCCCTCCCCTTCACTGCATGGAGAAAGTTTTCTGTATTTCTGCTCAATGTAACTAAGGGTATTGGATGATCACATATTACCTGTGTACCTCTTCACAATTAGCCAACACCTTTTGCTCTATGCTGTACACAGTAGTGTCAGGATGCTGGTGAGTGACCCTAGACACCTAGAGGATTTTGGAGGTCAATGCCCCTGTGGCCTGGTCACAGACCAGGCCACAGGGGCATTGGTCACAGACCAGGCCTCACGATGGATCAGGGCCTGATCAACCAGGCTGTTACTGCTGGCCACACATAAACCGATGTACGAACCACAGCCCGGCTGATCAGGTACTGACTTTATGTGAAATGAAAATGTTTATTTCCTTGCAAAGCTTACCATGTGTGGTTTACATATAAAATATTAATTACCAAGAAGACCACTAGCCTGCCTAGGCATTTCAGGTGTACTAATCCTAATTCTTACTCTATAATGGCACAGGTTATGGAGCAGTACATTTTAATATACATTATTGCATACTGATATAAAAATTAGGTAACTGAAGTGATTAACAGTAATTAGATTTACAATAGTACAAAACATATAACAATAATACAATTAGTAAATTTAGTAATGGAAATGGTTTTATCTTGTCATGTTACTGTTTCTATAAAAGCTCCTATATTGGGAGAGTTTTTCAGGAAAACTTAGGATTAACTTAAGATTTATTGGGCAGTAGCTAAATTAGGAATTTTATGTTTACAGTCATTTGGGTGAATGTAAAATAGGGGGAATTACAGATAACAGGAGTAAGTCTATTTTGTTTTGAATGTGTTCAAGATACAAAAAAAAAGAGAATAGGTGGTTTTCACATAGTTAGCTGATGATGGGGTGTGTTAGGGAGATGTTTTTTAATGGTAGTTTTGAAAATGGTGGTTGAGTCTGCAGTTCTAGATTTTTTGGACAGGGAGTTCCAGATTTTAGGCTCTTTTATGTACATTGAGTTTTTGTAAGTGCTTGTCCAATGCCTTCATGAAAACAGACAGGGGTCTATTGGTAATCTCCCTTATGTATGCAGGGAAGCTAGATCCCAATTTTGACCTCTCCCATCCTTGAAACAAACCCAATTGCATCCCATTCTCCAGGTGAAGAATGACCTTTGTGGGTTTAGTGCTTCTTCATGACTAATAATTATGATGGTGTGTGTGTGTGTGTGTGTGTGTGTTGTTCATGTCAGTGACATTTCTCGGCTGATGTCCTATCAAAACAGCAAGCTTTAGGTAACATCTCTCCCATCACACTTTGCCAGTATACCCAACTCTTAATTGTAAGATTATCCTTTTTCTTGCAAATGTTTAATGGCAGATTTTTGCATAATATGCATATAATATTCACTGTCAACTAAAGCTACAAAACCTACCCATCACTAAAGTAGAGACTTTTGTTTATCTTACGTGCAGCTGATGACAGTAGTTGATCAGCATTTTCAAGGTCTTTGACTACCATGTGTTCCTTTGAACATTATTTGGCAAATCTGTTTAACCATCATGGAACTCCTAACTCAACAGTAGTGTAATTGCTGGGTTTGATTCCTAGTAAGATTTGCTACAGTGCTCTACTATCTTCTTGGTAACCTCTAAATATCAAAGAGGCAGTTAAAAATACTCACACTTTCACCGAGTTTAAATCTATACTGTAGCATACTCACTAGTCAATTTTTGTGTCAAAATTGGTTACACTACATTGTGTGGCTCCTTGAAATTAATGCATAGCTTACCATTAAAAGATGGTTTGTGCCTTAATGATAGTGAAGGGCTCTTAGTCTAAGGAACTGGAACTTCCCTACCCTTTGGTTGAACCTGATTATGTCCCCTTCCTCAAGCACTGTATGACTCCCTACAGGGATAGTATCTCCCTATATACAGTAGCTCCCCTGTATCTGTGGGGATACCTACCTGGAGTATACCGGGAGAGAGTTCTGGGGGCAATGCCCCCGCAGCCCGATCTGTGACCAGGCCTCATGGTGGATCAGGGCCTTACCAACCAGGCTGTTACTGTTGGCCGCACATAATCCAATGTACGAACCACGGCCCGGCTGGTCAGGTACTGACTTTAGGTTCCTGTGTAGTGCCTGCTTGAAGACAGCCAGGGGTCTATTGGTAATCCCCCTGATGTATGCTGGGAGGCAGTTGAACAGTCTTGGGCCCCTGACACTTATTGTGTTGTCTCTTATCGTGCTAGTGGCACCTACCTGGAGTTTACTGCAGATACCTGAAACCATAGAGAGTAATGAACTGTGTGTGTCATTTTTCATTTACATACATCCCTATGATAGTTTAATTGATAAATTATGCACAGTAAGTTGAGAATTAGCACGTTTTCACAAATGGTATGCATTTCACAGCTTCTCTTTAGGCCATTATTAAGCAAAATTAAGGGTTATTTTCAGGCCATAGTAAACCACTTAAACCAAATTCTGCAGATATAGAGGGTTCTGCTGTGTATGTAATAATGCATAGTGTAAGGTAAACTGCAAATTAACATTATTGGTTAAAGCTTATTAAATACTGTCCCTTCAAGAAGGATGGCCTCATGCTGGTGAAGGGTTGTTGACTCGAGGAAATAGGGCTAATCTCAACTTTCTTGGATCAGACCTGATTGCTTTCCATTTCCCAGGTGCTATATGACCCTTTTTGGCTTAGCACTTCCCAGTGATTTTAATAATTATTATGTACTGAAAATGATCCTCTTTCCTTCCATGTCTGTCTCTGATGCATGGAACTGCAAAGAAAGACTGGCCCAGGTAGTGATAAAGGTTGTATGATCTGAGTATTCCTGGCTAATGGAAAATCCAAAATAATCAAACAAGAGCGATGGAATGTAAACTGCAATGCTGCAACTGAAGTACGTGCAGTAGACAGGAAAAGGAATATAGTGTTGCTGTGTAGTAAATATGAAAAAATGAATGGGTGTGCATGAACAGTTGTGTGCTATGATGATGAACAGCAAGATTGTTAATGCTTTTCTCAAGATAACTACATAGTGAAAATTGAAAGATCACAATGAAATTATCACTGGTGTCAATACGCAGACGATGTCGCTTTTGGAGCCGGCGATGTGAATGGATGTTTTTGTTATTAGTGGTGTTCGGTATGATTATAACAATGCATTATTGGATAGTGGCTAAAAAAGACATTGAGGAACAACCCCCTTGTATAGTGTTGCAAGAACAGAGGCGAGGACTGTTCCCATTGTTATCTGCAGTGTCAACACTTCTTTCTCATCTCTCTATCACACATTTTCTTTGTTATGACTCCTTATGGGGGGCAATACAGGAATCAGGCCCACTGCCCTGGGATGTGCATGCCCACCTTTGTGCTCTTAATGAAAAGGTATCTGTGCATGATGAGGCTGAACTATTAAGAGCTTTCAGACGTCGTGGGCTGACCCTAGAATACAGCTCTGCTGAAGGCCAGTACACTATTAGGAATTCGTCTTCCGAAGCTGTAAACTTTGAAGTCCCAACAGTCCGTGTGGTGCTTTTTGAGGAAGACGATAGGTTGCACATGTTACGACGAGTAGGCTGGCGACGGCGTGTATTACCGCCTGACTGTGATGCTCATCCCACTCTACAGTGCTTTCCCCCAAATCTAGCTGCACTGCCTCTGCCAATGCGACCTTTTGGCCCTCTCACTCTGCCTGCCCCCAGAGAAGACATAGATTTACTCAAGTTTCACTACCCAGACACTTGGTGGAGACCTCTTCAGCCTCACTGTTAATTACTTCACTTGTTTTAGAGGTAGGAAACTTGCATGCTAATTAATATATACCATATAGTACAACATTTCATGTCCAAAGTCAAAGTCTTTTGTAGCCTTTGTAAATTTATTACATTATTATTATTATTATTATTATTATTATTATTATTATTATTATTATTATTATTATTTACCTTAGATATTTAGATATTTAGTGTTGGAGTGGTTGGTACTTTTGTTTAATAAATGTATGAAAGAGGGGAAGGTACCTAGGGATTGGCGGAGAGCATGTATAGTCCCTTTATATAAAGGGAAAGGGGACAAAAGAGACTGTAAAAATTATAGAGGAATAAGCTTACTGAGTATACCAGGAAAAGTGTACGGTAGGATTATAATTGAAAGAATTAGAGGTAAGACAGAATGTAGGATTGCGGATGAGCAAGGAGGTTTCAGAGTGGGTAGGGGATGTGTAGATCAAGTGTTTACATTGAAGCATATATGTGAACAGCATTTAGATAAAGGTAGGGAAGTTTTTATTGCATTTATGGATTTAGAAAAGGCATATGATAGAGTGGATAGAGGAGCAATGTGGCAGATGTTGCAAGTATATGGAATAGGTGGTAAGTTATTAAATGCTGTAAAGAGTTTTTATGAGGATAGTGAGGCTCAGGTGTGTAGAAGAGAGGGAGACTACTTCCCGGTAAAAGTAGGTCTTAGACAGGGATGTGTAATGTCACCATGGTTGTTTAACCCTTTGACTGTTTCAGGCCCCTCTCTGAAACTGTCATTCTATGTCGCTCAATTTTTGAAAAAAAAAAAAATTTTTTTTCTTATGAAATGATAGAGAATCTTTTCCCGATGGTAATGACACCAAAAGTTCGAAATTTGGTCGAAAACTCGTGAAATTATGCTCCCGCGAAGTTAGCGGTCTCTGCGACATATGCGTATCGGCGATTTCGCCGACTTTGAGCCCTATTTTCAGCCAATTCCATTGTTCCAGTTGACCAAACTCATAGCTATTTCTTTAGAACTCCATTTTATCTATCAGCTGAGTACAAGAAACCTCCCATTTACTAATTTGGACTACCCAATATGGTGGTCAGAAATTGGCAATTTGGCCAATTTCACGCAAAATAAAAAAGATGCCAATTTCAAAATAGGGTCCAGAATAAACAAGGTAGACATTCGTGGCACTAAAATAACATATGCTCTGTTCATTAGTCACATCTCTAGGCCCCTCTTATATTATTATTGCTTTCTATTTTGATTTTTTATTCATACAAAAAAATACAAAATTTACTGTTATGCAGACGACTGCATTATTGTAAAAATGGTATAAATAATATCAGTGCACTAGTGAAAGAATATTAGACTCCCCAGTTGACGTGTATTGGACGTGTGGTGTGATTTATTTACTCTTGAACATTGGTAAAAATCGAACATTTCCGCTACTTTGAGCTCAGTTTCAAGGTCGTTTTCATCGTAAAAGTAATGAAAATCATCTCTATTTCTATAATATGTTTTCCATTTTATCACCTAAGACCATGAAAACGCGAATACAACGATAAATACTATACGAAAATACACCTCAAAGTCGGCGTTTTATTCCAAAAAAATGATCAGAGTTTTTTTTTTCTCATTACGCAATGTGTGCTGCAGGATTTTTTTTATGTGGTGCACACTGACCACACAGACCCATTCTCTCACATGTGGGCCTACCAGCTTTCTCCCACTTGATTTGAAGTATTGAGTATATATACGTCAGAAACATTGGCTCGTAAGACGTATTTATACGTCGAAAACAGTCAAAGGGTTAATATATTTATAGATGGGGTTGTAAAGGAAGTAAATGCTAGGGTGTTCGGCAGAGGGGTGGGATTAAATTTTGGGGAATCAAATTCAAAATGGGAATTGACACAGTTACTTTTTGCTGATGATACTGTGCTTATGGGAGATTCTAAAGAAAAATTGCAAAGGTTAGTGGATGAGTTTGGGAATGTGTGTAAAGGTAGAAAGTTGAAAGTGAACATAGAAAAGAGTAAGGTGATGAGGGTGTCAAATGATTTAGATAAAGAAAAATTGGATATCAAATTGGGGAGGAGGAGTATGGAAGAAGTGAATGTTTTCAGATACTTGGGAGTTGACGTGTCGGCGGATGGATTTATGAAGGATGAGGTTAATCATAGAATTGATGAGGGAAAAAAGGTGAGTGGTGCGTTGAGGTATATGTGGAGTCAAAAAACGTTATCTATGGAGGCAAAGAAGGGAATGTATGAAAGTATAGTAGTACCAACACTCTTATATGGGTGTGAAGCTTGGGTGGTAAATGCAGCAGCGAGGAGACGGTTGGAGGCAGTGGAGATGTCCTGTTTAAGGGCAATGTGTGGTGTAAATATTATGCAGAAAATTCGGAGTGTGGAAATTAGGAGAAGGTGTGGAGTTAATAAAAGTATTAGTCAGAGGGCAGAAGAGGGGTTGTTGAGGTGGTTTGGTCATTTAGAGAGAAGGGATCAAAGTAGAATGACATGGAAAGCATATAAATCTATAGGGGAAGGAAGGCGGGGTAGGGGTCGTCCTCGAAAGGGTTGGAGAGAGGGGGTAAAGGAGGTTTTGTGGGCAAGGGGCTTGGACTTCCAGCAAGCGTGCGTGAGCGTGTTAGATAGGAGTGAATGGAGACGAATGGTACTTGGGACCTGACGATCTGTTGGAGTGTGAGCAGGGTAATATTTAGTGAAGGGATTCAGGGAAACCGGTTATTTTCATATAGTCGGACTTGAGTCCTGGAAATGGGAAGTACAGTGCCTGCACTTTAAAGGAGGGGTTTGGGATATTGGCAGTTTGGAGGGATATGTTGTGTATCTTTATATGTGTATGCTTCTAGACTGTTGTATTCTGAGCACCTCTGCAAAAACAGTGATAATGTGCGAGTGTGGTGAAAGTGTTGAATGATGATGAAAGTATTTTCTTTTTGGGGATTTTCTTTCTTTTTTGGGTCACCCTGCCTCGGTGGGAGACGGCCGACTTGTTGAAAAAAAAAAAAAATTTAGGTTTGGAGGGGCATCTGAGCTGCAATGTCAGGATGCGTCTGGCAAGACAGTGATAATGAGTGATGATGAGTGTGTTTTCTCTTTTTAGGGCCACCCTACCTCAGTGGGAAACGGCTGGTGTTAAAATAAACCATTGATAATTAAGGTATATAAGAACAGTGAACATGTTTGTTGCTTTTTTATATAATTCTACAATAAATCTACATTGTGTTAATGGATGGAAATTCTCATTTCAGGTGCGAGTACTTTACATATGCTGAAAATCATCCTAATTTCTCTACTTCTGGCTGATACTATGATGATCTCACATGAGGTTTTGGTTTTATTGGCTGAAGCAACACTGCCACTCTGCATTGAACTTGGATTTGTCAACAGACATTGATGGTTTTTCAGAAGATGCTTCTATTGAATAGTTTCTGACATGCAATGGAACACCTCTTCATTGGTCAATAGTTTTTTTTTTTTTGTCCCGTGCAAGGGCTTTCTTCAGTCAACATTTATCTAAACCTACTGAACTTTTTAATTAAATTTGTATACTGTAGTTTGGACATTATACAGTATACAGTGGACCCCCGGCATACGATATTAATCCCTTCCTGAGAGCTCATCATATGCCGAAACTATCGTAAGGCGAATTAATTTTCCCCATAAGAAATAATGGAAATCAAATTAATCCGTGCAAGACGCCCAAAAGTATGAAAAAAAAGTTTTACCACATGAAATATTAAGTTTAATGCACACAAACTGAAGAAGACATGCACAGTTAGTAGATCTGGTGATGATTGATGGGATGGGAGGAGGGGAGAATGTCGAAGTTGTTATTGTTTAGAAGGGGAATCCCCTTCCATTAGCACTTGAGGTAGCAAGTCCTTTTCTGGGGTTACTTCCCTTCTTCTTTTAATGCCACTAGGACCAGCTTGAGAGTCAGTGGACTTCTGTCGCACAACATATCTGTCCATAGAGGCCTGTACCTCTCGTTCCTTTATGACTCTTCTAAAGTGGTTCACAACATTGTCATTGTAATAGTCACCAGCACAGCTTGCAATAGCTGTGTGAGGGTGATTTTTCATCCATAAAGGTTTTCACCTTTGTCCACATTGTACACATTTCTTTAATCTTTGAAGTAGGCAACTTCATCAATTTCTCTATCCCCTCCTCCGAAGCAGTTTCCTCAGGTCTGGCCTCTTGCTGTTGAAGATGATCTAGCAGCTCATCAGTGGTTAGTTCTTCATTGTCCCCCTCCACCAACTCTTCCACATCCTCCCCACTAACCTCCAACCCCAAGGACTTCCCCAATGCCACAATGGATTCCTCAACTGGCATACGATTCCCAGGGTTAGCCTCAAACCCTTCAAAACCCCTTTTGTCTACACATTCTGGCCACAGTTTCTTCCAGAGTTCAAGGTCCTCTTAGTCACTTCCTCCCAAGCCTTACCTATAAGGTTTACACAATTGAGGATATGAAAGTGATCCTTCCAAAACTCTTTTAGAGTCAATTGAGTGTCTGTGGTCACTTCAAAGCATTTTTGAAACAGCTTTTGTGTACAGTTTCTTGAAGTTGGAAATGACCTGCTGGTCCATGGGCTGTAGGAGAGGAGTGGTATTAGGAGGCAAAAACTTGACCTTAATGAAGCTCATGTCCCCAGAAAGTCACTCTGCCAAGTCTGTAGGATGACCAGGGGCATTGTCTAATACCAGGAGGCACTTAAGGTCTAATTTCTTTTCAATTAGGTAATTTTTCACATTGGGGGCAAATGCATGGTGTAACCAGTCATAGAAAAAGTCCCTAGTGACCCATGCCTTACTGTTTACCCTCCACAGCACACACAAATTAGCCTTGAGGACATTGTTTTGCCTGAACGCTCTGGGAGTTTCAGAGTGATACACCAATAAAGGCTTCACTTTGCAATCACCACTAGCATTGGCACACATCAGAAGAGTAAGCCTGTCTTTCATAGGCTTAAGTCCTGGGAGTGCCTTTTCCTCATGAGTAATGTAGGTCCTGCTTGGCAGTTTCTTCCAAAACAGGCCTGTTTCGTTGCAATTAAACACTTGTTCAGGTTTAAATTCTTCGCTGTCTATGTAATCCTTGAATTCCTTCACATATTTTTCAGCTGCTTTTTGGTCCGAATTGGCAGCCTCACCATGCCTAATCACACTATGTATGCCACTACGATTCTTAAATCTTTCAAACCAACCTTTGCTGGCCTTAAATTCACTCACATTACCACTAGTTGCAGGCATTTTTTCAATTAAATCCTCATGCAACTTCCTAACCTTTTCACATATAATCGCTTGAGATATGCTATCTCCTGCTATCTGTTTTTCATTCATCCACACCAATAACAGTCTCTCAACATCTTCTAACACTTGCGATCTCTGTTTTGAAAACAGACATGCACCTTTTGCAATAACAGCTTCCTTGATTGCTGTTTTCTTGGCCACTATATTAGCGATGGTTGATTGGGGTTTGGTATACAACCTGGCCAGCTCCGACACACGCACTCCACTTTCGTACTTTGCAATTATCTCTTTCTTCATTTCCATAGCAATTAGCGCCCTTTTTCCCGCAGGCTTGGCACTAGAAGCTTTCTTGGGGCCCATGGTGACTTATTTTGCAGAAACAAGCACCAAAAACACTGTGATAATATGGAATGTACCGAATGTATGCTTAGATGCGAGCACACTGGCTGGCTTGTAAATACTGGCACACATGGGGCAGTTCAGGCCACACATGGGCGTGTCCTGGACGAATCACGTGTGGCGAGGCAAAATTTTTGTGTTAAAATGTAACGTATGCCGATGCCATCATATGCCGGGGTCCACTGTATACTGTATTTCTAAGTCTTGAATGGTATGCGGTTAAAATTTTGAAAACAGTGATAAAACAAAATTTAAAAACAATGCAGGCTTTCTTGCTTGAGCTTATATAGATGCAAGAAAACTGCTCATTATAATAATGGCCTTGGAATTTGTAGACTAATGAACTATATTTATTTAGGGAAAGATTTATTTAATATTAAAACAAATAATAAATATCTTTATGATATATGCTGTATGTATTAATAATATTCAGTATGACATTATTAATACCATTTCTACTAATAGTGCATTTGCAAAGAATCTTCCTCTATTGTTGCTCAGATGTCACTGGTTTTCAAATTAAATGTATGTAGAAGATTCCAGGACTTTAATTTGTCTTAAAAGTTAATATTATGAAGATTGACCTTTCAAGGGGTACCTTGATGCTAGCAAAGAGCTCTTGATCTAATAAATTAAGAGCTAACTGTCCCTTGAACCAAACACTATCAACTCCCATTCCCCAGGTATTGCATGACCATTACATATTTCCCATGAGAATAACATTCAGCTCTTATAAAGCTCCTCTATATAGTGTAACTGTTTTTTAAATGTAGGTGAAAAAGTTAATTGAAAATAAGATATAAAAGCCTTGCCATGAGCTATTCAATTTTGGGCATATTGTACTATCTCACTTGCATTTACAAAATACACCTAACAATGCTGATGCATAGTGAGGTACAACTGCCATATGTGGGTTGAGGTACTGAGGACTGGGATTATATAATACTGGGATACTTCTTGATGATTGTGAAGCTAGTGAACCAAGTCTGGTTAATGTTAGGATTTTACTGAAATTCTTAAGAGTCAGAGCAGCAGCAGCAGATGTGGGGTAGGATGTAGGAGTGGGACCCACTGCTGCATCCTACCCTCAGGCTCCCACTAGTTATGACAGGATGTAGGAGGGGGTCCCATCAGCAGAACCATGAGGCCCGGTGGCCTGATGGCTAAAGCTCCCGCTTCACACACGGAGGGCCCGGGTTCGATTCCCGGCAGGTGGAAACATTTCGACACGTTTCCTTATGCCTGTTGTCCTGTTCACCTAGCAGCAAATAGGTACCTGGGTGTTAGTCGACTGGTGTGGGTCACATCCTGGGGGACAAGATTGAAGACCCTAATGGAAATAAGTTAGTCCTCGATGACGCACTGACTTTCTTGGGTTATCCTAGGTGGTTAACCCTCCGGGGTTAAAAATCCGAACGAAATCTCATCTTATTTAGGATGCAGGAGTGGGTCCCTCCAGCAGAGCCATGAGGGTGGGATGTAGGAGTGGGTCCCTCCAGCAGAGCCATGAGGGTAGTTTACCTGGAGTTTACCTGGAGAGAGTTCCGGGGGTCAACGCCCCCGCGGCCCGGTCTGTGACCAGGCCTCCTGGTGGATCAGAGCCTGATCAACCAGGCTGTTGCTGCTGGCTGCACACAAACCAACGTACGAGCCACAGCCCGGCTGATCAGGAACTGACTTTAGGTGCTTGTCCAGTGCCAGCTTGAAGACTGCCAGGGGTCTGTTGGTAATCCCCCTTATGTGTGCTGGGAGGCAGTTGAACAGTCTCGGGCCCCTGACACTTATTGTATGATCTCTTAACGTGCTAGTGACACCCCTGCTTTTCATTGGGGGGATGGTGCATCGTCTGCCAAGTCTTTTGCTTTCGTAGTGAGTGATTTTCGTGTGCAAGTTCGGTACTAGTCCCTCTAGGATTTTCCAGGTGTATATAATCATGTATCTCTCCCTCCTGCGTTCCAGGGAATACAGGTTTAGGAACCTCAAGCGCTCCCAATAATTGAGGTGTTTTATCTCCGTTATGCGCGCCGTGAAAGTTCTCTGTACATTTTCTAGGTCGGCAATTTCACCTGCCTTGAAAGGTGCTGTTAGTGTGCAGCAATATTCCAGCCTAGATAGAACAAGTGACCTGAAGAGTGTCATCATGGGCTTGGCCTCCCTAGTTTTGAAGGTTCTCATTATCCATCCTGGTCCTTGAAGGTGAGATCCTCTGACATGATCACTCCCAGGTCTTTGACATTGGTGTTTCGCTCTATTTTGCGGCCAGAATTTGTTTTGTACTCTGATGAAGATTTAATTTCCTCATGTTTACCATATCTGATTAATTGAAATTTCTCATCGTTGAACTTCATATTGTTTTCTGCAGCCCACTGAAAGATTTGGTTGATGTCCGCCTGGAGCTTTGCAGTGTCTGCAATGGAAGACACTGTCATGCAGATTCGGGTGTCATCTGCAAAGGAAGACACGGTGCTGTGGCTGACATCCTTGTACAGGAAGGCCCCGCTTTACGGCGTTTCACTTTACGGCGTTCCGCTAATACGGACATTTCAAATTATGACCAAAACTCACTATAAGGCTCCCCCCACCTGACTTTCTAATACGGTCACCGTGCCCCACCCTGTTTGTTTACATTCTCCATGAGCTCAGTAAGCACTAAGTCTCTCCATTTTGTCTGGAAACTCCAAAATTTCAAATGTTTTTAAAAGTTATTTCATATTTTATATATACTCTGATAATTATACTTATGTATACCTGTACCTAAATAAACTTACATACATCGAGTCATTTAAATGTCGTATATTACGTTAATATACACATTTTCATTAATCCATCCATGATATTTTTTTCAAAATTATATAATAAACACGATGCATAACATATAAATAAGATAAATACACCCCACAGTAGAATAAATAAACAAATGTGAGATGTCGTAGCAGACGACTTGCACAAGTGGTGATAATAACAATACCGAGTCTCATTAAATGTCGTATATTACGGTAATATACACATTTTCATTAATCCATCCATGATATTTTTTTCAAAATCATATAATAAACACGATGCATAACATATAAATAAGATAAATACACCCCACAGTAGAATAAATAAACAAATGTGAGATGTCGTAGCAGACGACTTGCACAAGTGGTGATAATAACAATACCGAGTCTCATTAAATGTCGTATATTACGGTAATATACACATTTTCATTAATCCATCCATGATATTTTTTTCAAAATTATATAATAAACACGATACATAACATAAAAAGATGATAAATACACCCCACAATAGAATAAATAAACATAAATATAAGATGTGGGAGCCACATAACTTGTACAAGTGACGCCAAGAATAACATTTTCTCTAATCTAACATAAGAGTAAATGTGTTACTGGGGGTAACTGTAGAAAATTATTCCTTTCGTATGTATGTAAGTAAGTTTATTCAGGTATACACAAATACAGTTACATAGATTATCATACATAACAACATACGTGTAGAGAACCTAGGATAACCCAAAAAAGTCAGTGTGACTTATTTCCATTGCCTTCACTCAGAGCTTCATTTCTTCTCAAAATGATGTTACATGAGAATGGGAGTGTTCTTCTTTATTAATTCTACCGTATCAATGTAGAGACAACCTGTACACAATGTAACTTGTACACAAACCAGACGTGTACACTTCGTTTGTTTACAAAACTTACCTTCCCCTGGTTTGTTTACATAACTGCGCCTGCCCCCTCTCATGTATTCATTCTTTCTCTCTCTCATTTATTCGTTTTATCTCATTTACTTACTCCTGACCCTACATTAAGACTACAAATATTTTAAGGTAAGTAATGAGTGAACTGTATATACATTTTATCGCTCTGGGATGCTTAAGTATCATAGAATAGTATGTGGTGGTGGGGTGGCCTGGTGAGGCTATTACAATACATACCACACTTGATTTCTTACAATAAATACTACTTGTCTCACCCTAGATTAAGACTATAAATATTTTAAGGTAAGTAATGAGTGCACTATGTGTGTATTGTACCTTTTTATTGTTTTTTGATGCCTGGTTCTATTGCTAACTTAATATATGTTAGTGTAAACTTGTTATCTAGTGTTTGTATGCATTTATAAGTGGAAAAAAAGGGTGTTCCACTTTACGGCGATTTCCGCTTTACGGCGGTAGCCTGGAACCTAACCCGCCGTATAAGTGGGGCCTTCCTGTATAAGTCGGATATGAGGATGAGGAACAAGATGGGAGCGAGTACTGTGCCTTGTGGAACAGAGCTTTTCACCGTAGCTGCCTCGGACTTTACTCTGTTGACGACTACTCTCTGTGTTCTGTTAGTGAGGAAATTATAGATCCATCGACCGACTTTTCCTGTTATTCCTTTAGCGCGCATTTTGTGCGCTATTACGCCATGGTCACACTTGTCGAAGGCTTTTGCAAAGTCTGTATATATTACATCTGCATTCTTTTTGTCTTCTAGTGCATTTAGGATCTTGTCGTAGTGATCCAATAGTTGAGACAGACAGGAGCGACCTGTTCTAAACCCATGTTGCCCTGGGTTGTGTAACTGATGGGTTTCTAGATGGGTGGTGATCTTGCTTCTTAGGACCCTTTCAAAGATTTTTATGATATGGGATGTTAGTGCTATTGGTCTGTAGTTCTTTGCTGTTGCTTTACTGCCCCCTTTGTGGAGTGGGGCTATGTCTGTTGTTTTTAGTAACTGTGGGACGACCCCCGTGTCCATGCTCCCTCTCCATAGGATGGAAAAGGCTCGTGATAGGGGCTTCTTGCAGTTCTTGATGAACACAGAGTTCCATGAGTCTGGCCCTGGGGCAGAGTGCATGGGCATGTCATTTATCGCCTGTTCGAAGTCATTTGGCGTCAGGATAACATCAGATAGGCTTGTGTTAATCAAATTTTGTGGCTCTCTCATAAAAAATTCATTTTGATCTTCGACTCTCAGTCTGGTTAGCGGCTTGCTAAAAACTGAGTCATATTGGGACTTGAGTAGCTCACTCATTTCCTTGCTGTCATCTGTGTAGGACCCATCTTGTTTAAGTAGGGGCCCAATACGTTGTTCTCGATTTTGATTTGGCATAGGAGAAGAAATACTTTGGGTTTCTTTCGATTTCATTTATGGCTTTTAGTTCTTCCCGCGATTCCTGACTTCTAAAGGATTCTTTTAGCTTAAGTTCGATGCTTGCTATTTCTCTGACCAGTGTCTCCCTACGCATTTCAGATATATTGACCTCTTTTAGCTGCTCTGTTATTCTTTTCCGTCGCCTGTAAAGGGAGCGCCTGTCTCTTTCTATTTTACATCTACTCCTCCTTTTTCTTAGAGGAATAAGCCTTGTGCATACATCGAGTGCCACCGAGTTAATCTGTTCTAGGCATAAGTTGGGGTCTGTGTTGCTTAGTATATCTTCCCAGCTTATATCGGTTAGGACTTGGTTTACTTGGTCCCACTTTATGTTTTTGTTATTGAAGTTGAATTTGGTGAATGCTCCCTCGTGACTAATCTCATTATGTC